AGTTTCTAGTATAATGAATAAAAAACAAAAAGCTACAACAATAACCATCATCATCATCATCATCATTCCTCAACCTCTTGCATCCACTGTTGGATATAGGTCTCCTCCATGTTCTTCCACTGTTCTCTATCTTGCGCCTTCTGTATCCAATTTCCGACTGTTTTTCTCAAGTCGTCCATCCATCTTTTTGGTGGTCTGCCTCGGTGTCTTTTTTCTTCTCTAGGTCTCCATTCTATGGGTCTTTTGGTCCACCTATTATCATTTAAACGTGCTATATATCCAGCCCATCTCCATTTAGCTTGTGCAATTTTTTCTATGACATCTGTCACTTTAGTCCTCTCTCTCACTATCCTATTTGGTACCATATCTCTTCTAGTTATTCCCAACATTGCTCTTTCCATTTTTCTTTGGGTTACTCTCAATTTATTTGCAGAATGTCTGGTTAAAGTTATTGTTTCGGAACCATATGTTATTACTGGCAGTATGCATTGGTTGTAAACCTTTTCTTCAAGCAAATCGGTAGCGTTCCTTTTAGAATATCTCGCCTCTTGCCAAATGCTGCCCATCCCAAGCCTATGCGACGCGAGATCCAGCGTCACAACAATAACCATAAAAGAAAAATACTACCTAATAATATTTTTATATAACTAAGTCTACCCTTTAAAATATGTTCTTAACTTATTTTAAACACACTGTTATCGCTTTTAAGTATGCGACAATACATTAAAATTATAGATTGTAAAAAACTAAAGTAATAAAACAAACACAATATAAAATAGTGCGTTCTTCTTGTGCTTAAATAGAAAAAATCTCAACACAAACAACGCAAAAATTGTTGCGGTTGATTATTACTCTTTATAGGGTTTGAGACTGTTGTAAAAATGTGCATGACACTTTTTAATAGCATTGGTCAGCAGTAATTCCATTAGGTCTTCATTATTTCTTTTAGGTATCTCTAAAGGCGCTTTGTAAGCCCATTCTAATATGTTTCTAAAATTCAGAGAGGTTGTGTTGTTTGTTCGCAGATTTTTTCTTGGTTTAATACTTACAACTCTATATTTAGACTGACCGAATGACGTCTTATAGTAAAATTGGTCCAAATTATCTCTTTCAACTTTAAACACGCATGCTTCACTAAACTTCACAGTATCATTTAAAGAGTCTGTACTAAAATTAATGAAGGTTTGCAAAGTTAACTTTTTTATATCAAAAAAAGTGATCGTAATTCATTTCCATTACGGTTCTACGGTTTATATCAACTACGGCTATATCAACACACGTCATACAACAGATTTCAAAACACTGACTGACACTGAGGGGTTAAGTCACTAATTATAATGTCACAATGAGTTAAGTGGGACTTGCACTATTTTGATGCTGTTAAATGTAAATATAATATTGATTTAAGTCACATAACTCATTGTACGTCACAAATGCAACGTACTTAAACCATTTCAATATTTAAAAATGAGATTTACACAGTATTAAGGACATAAATTCTATTACCATTACATAGACCTGGTAAACCTGTGTTGCTTAACTCAAAAATGTATATTTTAAAAATATTGGACTTAACTCCTGTTGGCTCTCGGGTACAGATATATATATATATATATATATATATATATATATATATTTATATATATATATATATATATATATATATATATATATATGTTCGGAAAGATTTCCGCGGTTAGTACAATAAAACTTAGAGCTAAGATTAACATTATTACTAAAATTAATATTAAACTCACCAGTCTTCCGGGTTGAACCGCGTCGTAATCCATTTTGCCAAGCTTTCGGCATCCTCTTTGATGCCTTCCTCAGGGCTCAGTGCCGTAAATAGTGAACAGTGCAGTAGTGTCTGGGGGCTCGGGAGACTGAGACCTCGGAAGCCCTGAGGAAGGCATCAAAGAGGATGCCGAAAGCTTGGCAAAATGGATTACGACGCGGTTCAACCCGGAAGACTGGTGAATTTAATATTAATTTTAGTAATAATGTTAATCTTAGCTCTAAGTTTTATATATATATATATATATTATATATATATATATATATATATATATATAAACGAAGAATGATCACAGCTGTCCAATTATTAATTAGTATAATGGTAAGGTTGATTGGGTTAGCAGCTGAATAATGAAAGCCAAAGTGTGCTCTTTTCAACGACTTCGCTATATTTCGTTAAATTTCTTTAACATCTTCAGACGAATGCTACAATATGTTACAAAATGGTGAAATTGTGTATTTTACATAAGATGTAGTGAAACACTTACTTGTGTGAGGTTGCAGGCAAAAGTGGTATTTGAAAGTTCCATGTGGAAAAACTTTTTTGAAGATTTTTTTATAGCAAAAAAAAAAGGAATAAGTTGTATGTGTTATATGGTGGCTTGAAAACTCAAACAATACAAGAGCATTTTTGTTATTTTCCTCCAGTGTGATAGTACAATACAAATATTAAAAAACATTGAACATTTAAGAAACAAAGCAGTTAAAACACAACTACATATCACATTGTCATTTTTTGGACCAGGTCTATTCACCTATGCACAAGGAGGTGGAAATCTAGTATGTACCTCAAGATTAAAGTGTCTTGTCAGCTATCATATTAGTAGATGTCAGCCAGAAAACTAAAGCTGTGTTCAGTTTATGTGTAAAGTTACATTTAATTGAAAATTATGTTATGTTAATTTAAGACAATTAAATTCTGTTATTAATAAATATATATAGAATTTATTTATTTCTTTGTGATTATTTCTTTTAAAGTTATTTTAATTATTGTTATTACTCTTAAGAATTTTATTTCTTGGAAAAATGCAACAATTGCAATAATAATGATTCAGTTACTACTTCAATTGGATGGTCAGAAGAGTTTTAATAGACAATATTATACTATTCAGAATATTACAGTTCGTTGACTTGATTATTTTTTGTTTCCAACTGCAGTAGAAAGGAATAAATTTCACCTGAGTGTGAACGTGGTTGGCTAGGGTGCATCTATCTGGGTAAAGTCTACAGTCACTTTTGTGAGTGGTAACACGGTCTTTAAGACGTCTAGAGGTTTGGCCGATGTACTTGCCATTGCAGTCCATACAAGGGATACTGTAAACAACATTAGATATTTGGTCATGCGGAGTACGATCTTTATTTTTGAGAAAATTCTGTAATTCTGTATGTATATTCAATAGCTACGATCCTTACATACAGTTTACCATGGAAGTCGAAGATGAAAATCAATCTATTCCTTTCTTAGACACTAAATTAATCCGCTCAAATGATAACATCATTATAGTTGATTGGTACACAAAATCAATGAGTTCAGGCAGGTACATTAACTACATGTCCTATCATAAACACTCCACCAAACTAAACTTAGTAAAACAAATGAAAAATAAGGTTCTACAAATTTCAGATATATCATTCCATCAAAAGAATCTCAAAATACTTTATGATCTCTTTATAGATAATTCCTATCCACCTCTTCTTTTAAAAACACTTTTATATAATACTACATTAGTAACATCTATCAATCTAACTACCTCCCAACATTCTAACATAGCAAGTACAAATTCACAGAATACGGTTACCAGTCAAACCCTTCCAACATATTGTGTGCTGCCCTACATACGGGAACTAACACGAAAACTAACTAGAATCTTTAAATCATATGATAACATCAAAATAGCCAATAAAACAGTTTTAACAGTAAACTCTATTTTCTCAAAAATGAAAGATCGTACTCCGCATGACCAAATATCTAATGTTGTTTACAGTATCCCTTGTATGGACTGCAATGGCAAGTACATCGGCCAAACCTCTAGACGTCTTAAAGACCGTGTTACCACTCACAAAAGTGACTGTAGACTTTACCCAGATAGATGCACCCTAGCCAACCACGTTCACACTCAGGTGAAATTTATTCCTTTCTACTGCAGTTGGAAACAAAAAATAATCAAGTCAACGAACTGTAATATTCTGAATAGTATAATATTGTCTATTAAAACTCTTCTGACCATCCAATTGAAGTAGTAACTGAATCATTATTATTGCAATTGTTGCATTTTTCCAGGAAATAAAATTCTTAAGAGTAATAACAATAATTAAAATAACTTTAAAAGAAATAATCACAAAGAAATAAATAAATTCTATATATATATTTATTAATAACAGAATTTAATTGTCTTAAATTAACATAACATAATTTTCAATTAAATGTAACTTTACACATAAACTGAACACAGCTTTAGTTTTCTGGCTGACATCTACTAATATGATAGCTGACAAGACACTTTAACCTTGAGGTACATACTAGATTTCCACCTCCTTGTGCATAGGTGAATAGACCTGGTCCAAAAAATGACAATGTGATATGTAGTTGTGTTTTAACTGTTTTGTTTCTTAAATGTTCAATGTTTTTTTAATATTTGTATTGTACTATCACACTGGAGGATAATAACAAAAATGCACTTGTATTGTTTGAGTTTTCAAGCCACCATATAACACATACAACTTATTCCTTTTTTTTGCTATAAAAAAATCTTCAAAAAAGTTTTTCAACATGGAACTTTCAAATACCACTTTTGCCTGCAACCTGACACAAGTAAGTGTTTCACTACATCTTATGTAAAATACACAATTTCACCATTTTGTAACATGTTGTAGCATTCGTCTGAAGATGTTAAAGAAATTTAACGAAATATAGCGAAGTCGTTGAAAAGAGCACACTTTGGCTTTCATTATTCAGCTGCTAACCCAATCAACCTTACCATTATACTAATATATATATATATATTAATATATATATATATATTAATATATATATATATATTAATATATATATATATATATATATATATATATATATATATATATATATATATACATGTATGTATACATATAATTAATAACAGCATGTGTATGTAAATCGTCTGTCTAAAATTTACAGTTTGAACTTTGTATATCTAGATCTTCTTTCCTACTTATTGCTATTAGCTATGGTAAGTAATTAAATAAATCACTCAAGACTTTCCCATAAATTCACACTGATGCAGATGTTCATTATATATTATACTTTAAAATTAGCCAAAACATACTAATACTATAAATTAAACCTAAGTTATTATTAATTTATTCCGGTATTTTTTATACACTTCTGGAATAAGTAGTTAAACGATGTTCTTCTTCTATGTTTGAATGCCTCCGAGGTGAGACGTGACAACAAAACGTGAAAGGTTCTTGCTCTTGTGTTGAAACACTAATTAACAAAGTAAACAAATCATCTACTTCAAATACAATTGTAAGAGTTCGTCATCACCAATTATTAAAATGTTATTTAAATAAAAATATATTTTCTACTAACATAGATTGTAGGTTTGAGTAATCATTTTAAATAAGCTTTTTGATTGATGTTTTCATACAGTTTGCGTTTATAGTTTAGGGAATATGGTTTAGTAATGTCTAATTTTCTTCATGTAATAGGTATAGAACAGACGGTAAAGTCAATATTTTTTTCTGTATAATATAAGGGCTTTTGCGAAATAATTTTTAGACTTAATCTTTTTATACCGGTACTCTTAATACTTTTTATACTGAATCTAGAAAAGCGTATAACTTAACATGAAAACTTAATATTTAGCCTCGATTACCTTCGAATTTAATTTATTGTTGATTTTAAATCGTTCTTTCACGATAAAAATACTGCATAACATTAGAATTATTTTGGGGACCACCGATTTGAATAATTTGCATATCGTATTGAATGATTTCCAAGTTTGCAAATAAGCTAATCTCACCCTTTTTTTTTTCAAAAGCTATAAGCTTCTGAAAACAACGTCAACAACAACGTTAGAAGAAAAAAAAAACTATTAAAGATGTTAAAACCGAAATGTATTACACCGAAATGTATTATACCGAAACGTATTAAACCGAAATTATTTTTAAATCTCTAAAATAACCATCTTCTTGTTTTATGAAATACATTTTATGATATACAGGGTGTCCCATAATTAATTGGACATTAGCTAATGAGTGATAGCTGACATCAAAATAAAGCGTTTGAGCTCAAATTGCTTAGACCAAAGTTGCTAGTTTTCGTTCTACAGGGTGATTCATTAATATTTTTTTATATTATTTTTAGGGATATATTGAAAACTATTTAACCGATTTAAGTGAAATTTGGTATCTTGCTATTATTTAATATGCTTAATATGAAAATGATATTAGTTTTACCATTGACACTAGGTGGCGTCATTTACTGTAACATTGGTTTATTGATGTGGCTATATTTTTTTCCGCCCTGTATAAACATCCTAGGAAAAAAAACATGAAATATACTCGGTTCGCTATTTCCAGTCCGAACTGTCTAGTGAATTCAGTAATTATTTTTTTTGCGAAGTTAGTTACTTTTTGACAGACTAAAAGTGGCTGGAAATTACTATACAACTAAGCACACGTACTCATAGCCAATAATAAAAATAAACCTACTAAATAGTAAATAAAATAGAACTTTGCGAATTACCGACGATTAATATTTATTTATCTGCACCATATAATAAATAGTTATGTTAAATTATAACAACTAAAATATATTTTTTAAACATATTCTAGTCTAAGCCGCAGATTGATTTAGAATTTTAAACTGCTGCGTTAGCCTTTGTGTTTTCTGTACACCGAGCTGGGAACCGAACTCACTTCCACTGAACCACTCGCAGTGAAGCGAGTGAGAAACCGGCCGCCCAGCCCGCTTGACTATCTGACCGATTTTTTAAATATATACTATCCAAAATTTGGTGGGTATTCCACTATTTAGAATAATTATTCTTTTTTCAAAGAAAGAAGTCTGCAATAGTAGTATACTTGAGCTATTAATACTGAAAAGTAGGAATGGTTGTGTTGTAGGTTTCCGACAATGAATATCTCAAAATATGCCCGAGCTAAGCGAATGCAGTTATAACATTCAATTCTGCACAAAAAAGGTATTCTTGTTTGAGGTCAATAAAGTACAGTGTTTTCGAAATAAACGTATTTTTTAGAGACGTGGATAAAATGGAAAAATTTTACAGAAACTTATGTAAAATCAAACATTATTCAAAAGGTCTTAAATTCCAGTGAATATTAAATGTATTAGTAGTAGAAAATGCTTGCAAACAAAATGCATATGATTGAAACAATTATTTTTTTTTAAACCTTTCACACAGAAACAAATTAAAAAAAAATCAGAAATTAAATTAAATTAAACAATGAAGTGACTATAAAACAATTGACACGGTGAATAATTCAAAACGAAATGATAAAAAATTACAATAAGTGTTTAAAATGTTCACCATTAGATAAAGTACGTAATCTAAATATTTTGTGTAAGTTTTGTCTTATTTTAAATGAGTTTCTTTGGGTCCTAATTACGTTAACTCCCTCTACACTATTTTGCTATAACCCTTGACGGTTATTTATTTGTTTATTAACAAGTGACTTTAGGTTGCGTCACAAGTGAAAGTCTAGGGGATTCAGTTCGGGACTGCGTGCTGGCCATGGGTATACACTACCTCTGCCAATCCACCTTTGAGGATACATTTCATCTAGATAATTTCTAACTTCTAGGCTTTAATGTGGTGGTGCATCATCATGCATGTACCAAGAGTTACGTCTCAAATTTAGAGGTATGTCTTCTAAAAGAGTTGGTAAATCTTGTCTCAAAAAATTTAGATACGTTACTCCGTCAAGCCAAGTTGGTAATTCGAATGGTCTTACAATACAATCTCCAAATATGCCACACCAGATATTTACGGAAAACTCATGTTAAAAATGATGTTCCTGAAATGCATGAGGATTTTCTGTTGCATAGGTATGGCGGCTATTATATATGCTATTATATATAGGTATGGTATATACAGATTGAACGAAATAAATTCGGAACATACGAAATATGTATTTCGGCTCAATTCTGCTGTAGGTGGTTGACCAACAAAATATTGTCAAATAATTATATTATAAAAATCCAATACTTCAGCGTTATGCTGGATTCTGAAATCATAAAAATTGAAAGCTACACATAAATCTACGATTTTATTATGCTGTCAAACCACTTATAGTCCAGAAAATGAAGCATTTCACCTCGCAATTTTTTCGTCCTGCGTGGATTGACTTGAAATTTTAACATAAGGTAGGTAATAGCCAAGGATCAAAATCTATATCGAACCAAAGTGTGCCAAACCCTTGGTGGTGGTTGCCACCGCCTCTCGGGGGTGAAAATTTTTTTAACGTTTTAACTACAGGTTTCGATTAAAAAAGTGATTCTTAACAAAAAATGTTCTATACATTTTTTTTGTAAAACTGATATTTTATTCGCGATTAATGAAGTTATTCGCGATTGAAATTAACAACTTTTAGACGAAAAAATCGATGTTTTTATAGCGAATAACTCGAAAATGGTGCATTTTATCAAAAAAAAATTGTAAAGAACAAATTTGTAGCTTTTAAAAAGACAAATACAATTCATTTTTTAAAATGTTTTTGGGATATAACAGGAACCGAAATACGGCCTATCAATGTTCAGCGGTTTTCTTTAAATGCCAAATTTGAAAGATTCAAAGTCAAATATCGGGAAAATGATGCATTTTTGGAAGAAAACTCACAGAACCTTTTTTAAAGAGCATAAATAGACCTATCATAAAAAAATGCTTAGTTCTAGAAAAAGTATAGCATAAAGCGAGAAACGATTTACAATTTCATATTTTTTACCCTTCTGTTTTTAAATATCCCCGAAAATACTGAATATATGAAAAAAAAATAAAAATGTACCAAATTGTAGCTTTTTTAATGACTAAAATTTTTCTTTATTTAGATTTGTTGTACAATGAATATTTGGCGAGATATAGCCGTTTAAAGTATCGATTTACGATCAAGCACCATCTTTTTCGAGCCCTTTAAACTCGCCCCATTTAAAACCAAGGGTCCAAAAAGATTTAATTCACAGATGCTTGTAGCTCTTAAAAACCTCTACAAAATCGTTTTTGAAGAAACACTCAATCGTTAAAAATGAAGGAAATACTTTAAAAAAACCAATTAATTTTTTTTTCGAAAAATTCCATTAGTATAAATAGTACAGTACATTTCGGAGCATATTAATCTACAAAACCGGTATATTAGGTAGTGGGGCGTTATACAGTCGAAATTTTAAGCGTTCTTATTTTGAAATCCCATACAACAGAATAAAACATCTGCTCAAATGTCTATGGCTTAGCAATGAAAATATCAGAGCAACAGATTGGGGATGGTATTCCAAAGATGGTTTTTTATTACCCGTACGCATGAACAAATAACCTGCACCCGATGAACTTCTGAAAATTATTTTTTGGCAATGCAAAAAAGGATGCGGCGTTTCATGTGGGTGCAGAAAAGTTGGTTTATACTGTAACTCTACTTGTTCTGGGTGCTCAGGTGAAGGGTGCAATAATAGTCCACCAATAATTGAAAAAAATAAGGATGACATAGATCACAATGAAGATGTAATTGATGACGAATAAAATTAATATTATAATTATTTTACCTATAAATGTAAATATTTTCAACTATTTATGTAAATGTATAAGAATATATAGTGCCTTTTTATGTTGATAAATTTTTTTTTATTTAATTCTACTTTTTTCAATTTATATCTATTAAATTAGTTTATAAAAACTGCAATGTTGTAAAGGGTGATTTTCAAAAGTTGAAAAGTTGCAAAATTTTGGCAAAAAATTGTTTTCACCTATAGCACTCATAACAATTGATTTTTAAGGGTTGAAAATGTATGAAATTGTATTTTAAAGTATAAAAAAATCACTATTTAACTAATCCAAACCAAATTTCACTCATCTTAAGATTTGTAATGTTTTTTTACAATTTTTAAAAATTGGGGGTAGTTTTCACCCCTAAGAACAACCAGGGTTCATCGGCATGACATAAACTATAAAGCAGAGGGTCAGTTGAGCTTAATCCCAAATTTTTATGTAAATCGTTCCAAGGCGAAATCATTTTCTTCGCATTACTACTTTTTTTTACATTAATCTCTAACAAGGGTCGCTTTTTAAGGGTTGAAATATGATGGTACTTTATCCAAAAGCACGAAACTATCATTATTTAATTAATTCAAATCAAATTTTGCCCATATTCAGGTTTAATATGTTATTTTATAATTTTTGACAATTAGGGGTAGTTTTCACCCCTAAGAACAATCAGGGTTCGTCGACATGACATAAACTATACAGCAGTGGGTGAATTGAGCTTAAATCCAAATTTTTATCCAAATCGATCAAAGGCGAAATCATTTTTTTAGAATTAGTAATTTTTTTACATTAATCTTTAACAAGGGTTGCTTTTTAAGGGTTGAAATATGAAGTAACTCTATTCAAAAGTATAAAATAATCATTATTTAACTAATTCAAACCAAATCTTACCCATATTCAGGTTTAATATGTTATTTTATAATTTTTGACAATTAGGGGTAGTTTTCACCCCTAAAACCCTTCAGCGCACTTCGGTTCGATATGATCCTTGGGCTATCACCTACCTTCTGTTAAAATTTCAACTCAATCCATGCAGGATGAAAAAATTGCGAAGTTTTAACTTTTTTCGAGCTTCATTTCCTGAACTATTATCGCTTCCTTTACGCAAACAACATTTTATACAATGTCTATACCCAGTTATGGATTTATTTTTGTCCAAGTTTTATATTGGTCCACTATTTCAATTGCAGTACAAACAGACATATAATAAATTGTATGATCCGTTTTAAATTCGTTCAATCTGTATAACACATATCTTTCAGTATATGTGGCTTCATCGGTAAATAAAATTTTATTCCAAAACATTGGATTGTCTAAATGTCGCACTATCATAAACTGACTAAATCGGAGCCTTGCTGGAAAATCCTGTGGTAAAAGATTGTGTACTGGAGTAAAACGATATGGATACAGATTTTCTGTGCGTATTATTCTTGACACTGTAGATTTGCTTATATCAGTGGCCACAGAAACAAGTTTTGTAATGGTTTCTGGATCTTCTGCAATACGCACAACAATTTCATCCTCCATATCCGCATCAATTACTCTCGGTCTTCCAGCATTCCTTTTTTGGGATGAAATGACCCGGTTTCACCTAATCCGCCGAACAATAATCCAATAATTTTATGGTTTGGTTGCCTTCTATTGGGATAAAGTTCGAAATACCGCTGAGCTGCTTTACGAGAACAAAAACTTTCCTGGGCATACAAACAGATCATATCGCGCATTTCTACATTATAAAATTCACTATGACGTGGCATTTTACCGTTATCTTAAGTGGTCTATAAAAAACTTTATAGCACTTTGACAAATAATGACTCGTACTGCACTTTGACAACTAATATAAATAAATTCGTAGTTACGTCTTGACGTTGCCATTAAGTTCAAAGCATACCCAGGTACCTGAATGTTTTGCTAAAAACTAAATACAGACATGTTTATCATTAACAAAATACGTTTATTTCGAAAACGGTATACTTTTTTGATTTGAAACAAGAATACCTGTTTTGTGTAGAATTGAATGTTATTTCATGTTTTTTTCTTAGAATGTTTATACAGGGTGGACAAAAAAATTATGGCCACATTAATGAACCAGTGTTATATTAGGTGGCGCCACCTAGTGTCTAGGGTAAAACTAATATCATTTTCATATTAAGCATACAAATAATAGCAAGATACCAAATTTCACTTAAAACAGTTGAATAGTTTTCAATGTATCCCTAAAAATAATATAAAAAAATATTAATGAATCACCCGTAGAACGAAAACTAGCAACATTTTGCCGAAGCAATTTGAGCTCAAACGTTTTATTTTAATGTCAGCTATCACCCATTAGCTAATTTCCAAATAATTATGGGACACCCTGTAATGTATTGCAATTGCCACCCGTAATTACTACCTCTTTTCTGTTTCCCATTTTATATATTAGGAGTGTCAAATTTTCGTAAAATTATTCCTTTTCAGTATCATTTGCATCTTCTGTTGGTGAGCATATGCCTACTCTAGTAATTTTGTGCCCCTCGTGTCTATGTCCATGCTAATACTTCGTTCCTTAGCGGGTTTCCAACTGCTTTTATTATTTTGAGGAAGGTGAGGTATAAGACAATTCTTAAACCATTGCTCAAAAAGCTCTGCCGTTGTATCCTCATGGTAGTCCACACAGGAGTCTTTAATGTTCTTTGCAGAAAGCCATAAGGCATTTGGGACCCAACTGTTTTCTGATCCTGCATGTAAAATTGTTATTCTTTTCCCTTTACTTGATGGAGCTTTTATTTGACACCTGTTGGAAGAATCGGACCATCCTTTGGATGGTGTTTCATGAGTGTCAAACCATGTCTCGTCCAGATAAATTATTGGTCGATCTTCTGTACGGTACTTTCTTATGGAAGTTATATATTCAGTACGCCACTTTTGTAAACGATGGGACTCCAAAAGCACTTACCTTTTGTCAATTGTACGATATCTGAAGCTCATTTTAGACAAAATTCTCCAAAGACTAGTGCTACTACAGTTTATTTGTGGATCATCATTAGTAAGCCGTTGTTTTAAAGTATCTAATGTAGGTATCCGTTGCTCTTCGTATATTGTGTCAATTTTTCGTCTTATTAAGTCCTTATCACTTTTGTCAATACATTTGGTAGAACCGGCATCCTTACGCTTCCTTCTTGACTTAATGGGATTTGATGTAATTCTTTTCACTGTGGTTAGAGGTATTTTCGTTAAATTAGATATTTCATTGGCAGCAGTATTAAAAACGATTACTTTTTAATGCCTTTTTTAGTGGCCCAAGGATGTGAAAATGACAAGGAGATAAATCCGGACTATAGGGTGGATGCTTTTATATCCCCGATTTCTTTCATTATAGATTTTCTTTCACTACTTTTACAACATAAGACCGAACATTACCGTTCGGGAAAATGACACCACGTGAGAGCTTCATTAAACATTTTTGTTTTGTTCTAGTTAGAGCTTGTTCACAGTTTCATTATACCTATTAATAAGCAGTCTAAATTCTGTAAACTTTTTGATCAAGGTACCTATGTCGCCAAAAAAAAATTAACACGAACTTGTCTGCAAAGGGTTGAACTAAAAAAAACTTCTTTGATAGCGGAGAACTTGCGGATTTCCATTGCATCAATCAAAGCCTACTGAATGGTTCAAAATTCGTCAGATTCTCCCAAGATTCGTCGCCAGCAATAATTAATAAAAGAAAATCATTATCATTTTGCTTGTATTCCGTGAGATGTTGCAAAGCTAATTCCATTGACAAGCTCGTTTGGTCCTCTAATAAAAGGCAATGAATATATTGCGCAAAAATATTTACTGAAATTGCTCTGATTGGAATTTGACGATTTTCTCTAATGAAGCCTTCCACACACGTCACATTCCTGTATGTTGAAGCAGTACTTAATACATCTGGTAACGGCTTATCATTCGTTTTCTCTCTTCCACTTTTAAATTTTCGACTTTATACCTAGATAATATTTTAATGAGCAAAACATCTTTTTTTATACACTTCCTATTAGCAATGGTTGCAAACCATCAGCAAACAAAAATTGAATGACCTCAGGCTGATTAAATATGGATGGATTGTTAACAGCTACTGCCATATTTAAGTCACAATACAATAATCTAAGTGCAAGTAAAATGATAGGAACTAATCAGCGTGACGTTTACAAACCTAACTAACATTGCAAAACCTTAGTTGAGTGATAAAAATATTACTAGATATTTCTATACTCTAAGATTTATGTAGTTAATTAGAGATTTTCATATTTCAGGTGGTCATCGTGGGTAATGGTGGGGTAGGTAAATCAAGCATGATCCAAAGATACTGCAAGGGAACTTTCACCAAGGATTATAAGAAAACCATAGGAGTAGATTTTTTAGAAAGACAAATAGAGTAAGTATATAATAATGTAATAAGTATAAATTACAATAAAATTTATAATACGTAAAGGTGCGCTTACATGGGCAACAAAACTTTGGTCGTGAAAAAAACAAAAAAACTTACTTATTCTCTTATTCTCCTTAATCTCCTAAATCTATCATCAACCATCAGATTCACAAACATAATCACTGTCGTCGCTATCCTCATTCGGATAGTAAGATAAGAAAGTACGTTAAATATAAAGTTGTCTGCATCTAAAACACGTCTCGGCAGTTGTGGCTTCAATAAACAAATACACTACACTAAACTTTTTTTTTAAACTAAAATCAATCGGCGATATATGAAACTGTATGTAAATTTTCGTTACTTTTTAATATCTGTAACGACTCGGTACTTCAACTATCAATAGCCGGTATGTTATACCCGTTACTTTCGGAACTTTTAAGAGTACATCCACTCAAAGCAAACAAATATTTACAACTAATAAAGTGAAATATTAAATTCTTTTTTGGTTTCTGAACCATCGTTTTAGCAATTTCTTTTCATTTATATTGAAAATAGCATATTTCTTTTTATTACAGGTGTAGTACCTAATAAAGTAATAAAACAGTGTAATATCAAAGAAACCGATACACATATTTGGCTTCATAGACGTCATTAAGTCGATTAAATTTCACAATAAATTTAGCATCTATCTGAACATCTATTAACTGAAATAATTTTAGTTTACATGTCATACTAACAGTAGATCCTTTTTATTGGAATAATGTTTAGACCAATTTACTTTCATACTTCTACTTGCACAGTAAAATATTCGTTGTCGTAATAATTCCAAACAGTCGTATATTCGTGGAATAACCTATACTTGTATACATAAGCGAGCAATTCGTACTGCACTCTGCAAATTGCGATCTCCCAAGATGACATTTTTTTGCAGCGCCCGCTTAGGGTCGATTTATACAAATCCGTGCCGTATCCGTTCGGTTTCAGTGCCGAGTCCGCTTATTTTTAATGTTCTATTTACATATAAACGCGTTATAGCAGTGTACGTAGCAGGCCGAATAAGAGAGGACAACGTTATTACATAGTTTAAGATAATCGATAGTAGTAAGAAGATCTCACCATGTTGGCATTATTGCTTGATGAAGAGGAAGAGCAAGAGCAGAAAAGGCCGGAACAAAAAAGATCAAGTGTGCATCCTATGTGGAAAAAAACAAACCGAAGGATAATTTAAAATATACAGAGAATTATTTGACGATGAAACAAAATTTCACGAATATTTTAGAATGTCGCCGTACTCTTTTTTTCTTTTTCTTTAATACACATAAAAGACGTAACATACTAATCGCACATCATCTCCTGATTGTCGCCCAGTTCAGAAAACGCCAATGTATAAATATACTTATAAGGGTACATTATTGGTTTTTTTTGCCGGGCACTGTCATAATACGGAACAGCACGGCACGGATATGTATAAATCGATCTTTTATTGTAACGCTTTTATTTTATTATAAGTCAAAAGCAAAACGATAGAAAGAGGAATAGGCTTATCTGGGTGCTAACGTTTTTAGCAAAATGGGGGCAAACTTCATTATGTTGTGAATTAGGTTATATTTTATTCAAAAACTTCTATTTTATACTAGAATGTCTCGAAGTGGTTTTGAATTTTGAAGCTATCCCATTAATTAGGAAACAGACGACCACTGTGAGGAAAATAATTCCTGCATCAACTTGCAGAAAAAATAAGTGTATACGAGATATAAAACAAATTGACTTAAATTTCTATACCCACTTGATATTTGTCAATTCGTTTCGGCGACATTGAGCAATATGGAATATATGAAACAATTTAGAAGCAATATTGCCAAAACAGTTGCCAAATTTTTGTGAAATTGCTGCATATTGCTCCATTAATTACTCCAGATTGATTCATTCGTATTGTCAAGCAATTATTGCTAAAAAAATTGCCTGTATAAGCGCACCGTAACAACTAATGTTCAGCCAAATAAAAATATATTAACACTATTCATTTAAAACGCATTAATTCCCAATTTTTTTTTTAATTTCAAAGTTTTACTTATACATAATAGTAGTCTTGTTTTAATTATGGAAATATTCATGAAATTGTCATAATAAATGTATGCATTTTTGAATTTTTACCCGTCCTATAAATACGACACTGAGACTTGGGGTTATCATAATTGCAAGTATTTATAAATCACTATGAATTGAGACGACGTATGATGTCGATGAAAAAATAATTAATTTTCCGGAAACGGTATGGCCCTACTCGAAACTACACCCTGGGTTGATTAGAAGACACCAGCCAACTTTTGCTGATTTATGAATGGTTTTCTTTAATCTCTCATATAAAGTCTCCGCGTTTCTATCTTCAACGTTGTCTCAAACTTTGCAAATTTTATTTGGGTACTGTGAGCTTTTCTTCTCGATTTTGGCTGTTTGTTATGTTGTTTTCCATATTGAATGTATAATATTGTCCTTTAAATTACATAATCAATATAGTCCAGAATATGACGGTAAAAATAGTAGAAGAGCTCTGAATTTTTTCAGATAATGTATTTGCTTTAAATTTTGAAGTGGTTAAAAAATAGCTCAAATATATAACAATATGTGCTTTTCCTCTGAGGGTGACTACCCCCAACACAGGCTGACGGAAAGTTTATAAAAAAAAAACTATGGTAATAGCTCAACCAGTGAATTTAAAAAAAGTTCATTATAGTTTTTTCGAAAAGTCAATATTTTTGTAGTTATTCGTGACTGGATGTTACAAATTACAGGGCAAAAAAGCATGTTTTAAACGGTTTTACTCAAAAATTTTGATTTTATAAGAAAAACTGTTTGGATATAAAAAGAAGCTTAGAAAGCAAAGTAACTCGATTACCGTTAAGTTACGGCTGTTTCATCAAATACAAAAATCCAAACATAGAATGTTTTGGAAAACGCTTAAATTTTTCATGGAAAACTTATAAAAACTTTTTAAAGCTACTAAAAGATCCTTTAAAATGACTACTTAAAGTAAAAATGATTTGCATGAAAGTTAAGGTAAGCTGTAACTAAGATAAAGTCCGCTTTTATTCTTTGTAACACAGAAAGTAACATACTCACCCCCGCCAAAACCACCCTGGTTGAAACTATTGTTAACACTATTCGTCGTTCACTTAAAATTTTCTTCAGTTATATACACTCACTACATTCTGGAAGTTTTGGTTAAAAGGTTAAAAATGGATGAAAAGTAGAAAAAAATTTAATGTACGTCATTTTATAGTTTTTAAAATAAGCTACAAAGGGGTGTATTCAATTTTTTTCAAATACTTTAAACAATCATACCTCATTTAATTTCTAGTCTATAGAAATAAAAAAAATCAAAACATTCAATAAAAGAAAGCTGTTTTTCGTAGCATTGTTTATGTATCTTTGTAAGTTGTTGAGATATTTTGGAAAAAAATAGGGAATTTTTTGAGAAATTCCGAAAATAGTGTTTTCACTTTAAACTTGGATTTTTTCAAAACTAAACATTCTTAACCAGTTAAACTCGTAAAGTACTGTTTTGGCTGCGGTGAGTTTGGTACTTTGTGCGACACAAAAAGTATAAGCGGACTTTATTTTAGTTATAACTTACATTTTCATACAAATCACTTTTTCCAGTAGTTATTTTAAAGGTTTTCAAAAAAAAACAAAAGATGGTCAAGGTGGTCAAGGTTTGAATTCGACTTCGCCAGGTAGAAATCGTATGATTTCTCTTATTGTTATTAGATGGCGTAGTTACGCCCGTGTTTTTTTTTTGAACTATTTCTATGTTTTGAACCTATTCTCTATCCTTTCATTGTTGGATATAGGTCTCCCCCAGTTCTCTCCATCTTTCCCTATCTTGAGCTGTTCTCTGCCATGTGGGACCTCCTTGTTTCCTGATGTCATCTTTCCACCTCATCTGTGGTCTGCCTCTTGATCTCTTTGCATTGTATGGACGCCACTTTCCGATGGCATTGTTCCATCGTCCGTCTTGGAGACGTTCATTGTGTCCAGCCCATTTCCATTTCAGTTTTGCTGCTTGTTCTATCGCGTCTACTGTCTTTGTTCTGGTTATGATCCACTGGTTACGTTTTCTATCTCTAAGTGATACACCCAACATTTGTCTTTCCATCGCTCTTTGTGCCTTCCTTATCCTATCCAAATTGGCCTGTGTAAATGTCCATGTCTGTGCTCCGTAGGTGAGCACCGGTATTATACAGGAGTCATATTACTTGCTTCGTAAGTATAGAGGGATTGTTTGATTTTTTAGAACGTAAGAAAGTTTGATTTTTAGAAGTTTCGGCTGTTTGATTTTCTCTGTTAGCTCTGATTGCTTGTCCTAGGTAGATATACTCATTTACCTGTTCTATTTTTTCTGTTTTTATTTTTATTGCCTCTTGGTCTACGTACGTTACACGGGCGTAACGTACTCACATTACGCCCGTGTATAGTTACTTTATAACTATTGTCTGAGGCGGGAATATATTTTGTTTCGAATCAGAGAGATGGCTATACCGCTCTGAAGAGATCTAAAGAGGTCGAAATACGTATAAGCGGCTTGCGCCTCTCTGTATTGAAACAAAAATATATTACCGTTGTAATACTAGCGGGGTTAATCCGCTGTCACCATTGAAATACTAGCGGAGTAAAAATTACTGTAACCCCTATAACATCCTCGGTTTATACCTTAAAGGATGCATATCCCTGCGAGCGGAGGCAAGGCTTACTGGTCCCACTAGTCTGAATTGGCTAGTCTTTATGTTATATGTTTTCTTAAAAGTTTTTCATGAAAAACTATCCGATTTCTGGTTATTCAACATAATATGTTTGGATTTTTGTATTAGATGAATAAAAGTCTACTTTCGAACAACCATAACTTTTCTTAATATTAAGTTCAAGGTAATAAAAAAACAAATATTTTTTTTTATAAGCTTCCCTTTATTATTCAAATAGTTTTTAAAACCAAAAGACCGTTTAAAACA